GACTCCCTTCCAAGCACTATATGGGAGGGTGCCACCGTCCATTCTACCTTACGAAAAAGGGTCCTCAGCCGTTGAAGAGGTAGACAACCACTTGATAGAGTGGGATGAGATCATTAAGTTGTTGAAGGAACACGTACGACGGGCCCAGTCCCAGATGAAGCACTACTATGACAAAAGGCATAAGTGCAGTTCCAGGTGGGTGATCTTGTCTATCTGAAACTTCAGCAGCAAACCAGAAACTATCTCCTCGTTACTATGGGCCATTTCCAGTGGTGTCTCGGATAGGAGTAGCTTACCGGCTGGCTCTCCTGCCCACCTCCAAACTACATCCTATATTTCACGTCTCCCTCCTGAAGTGATGCCTCAGCCCAAATGCTCAGGTCTGCAACTCTCTACTGGATTTCTCCAAAGATGACACACCTCAGTTAATTCCCTCTCGGGCAATGGACTATCGTTGGGTCAAAAGAGGTAAGAAGAGTGTGAAAGAGGTCCTAATTGGTTGGGTTGGGTTCCCTGTAGATGATGCAACATGGGGATCCTACTCGTATATTAGACAACAATATACCGGTTTCAACCTTGAGGACAAGGTTACTGTTGAGGGGGAGGCAATTGATGGGAGCCCACAAGGCCCGCAACACTCAATACAGGTCCAGGCCCATGACGAGACCCAGGCAGCAGCAGAAGAAGGCACTCAGGCCCGTCATCCAATTTGCTTTGTGTACTCCAGGAGGATGAAGGCCACGCCAGATTAAGTGGTTAGAATCTGCACAGGGGAATACCAGAATTGGTTAGAGTCTCAGTAGTGGGTAATGATTGTAATAAGTATTATAAATAGTAGTCGAAAAAGTGAGAGAGGGCATGTCGAGAGATATTTTGTTTATCTTCTTTGGAGGTGAACCCCCTTGAAGTGTTTCCTGTATTGAGCAGTAACCCAACATCTTCTCAGAATTGACTTGAAATGATCTACAAAACATTTGCTATCTCTTCTTGAGAAGAGATTTCTTCTCCATCAATCTCAAGCTGTGCCACAAAAATTTTCCTCCTCCATTGGCCATCGCATGAAAAAATTGTGTTCCCATCTCCTTCCTTGATCCACTTAACCCTTGATTTTTGTCTCCATGATATCTTTTCTCGCAACAGGACCACTTCTAATTCCTTCTTTAATTGCCACCTCAAATCTCGTTCTTGTGCACTCATAGTCCTTTGGGATTCCTTCTCATCCAATTCTTCAATTTGAGTCAACAAGGAAGATTTTAAATCCTCAATTCTCCCAAAATGGTCCCTATTCCAGGAATTTTGTCCTCAAATTTCTTAGTTTTTTATGAAATCTAACTCCTCTCCACTTCACCCCCCTTAGCTCTTCACTCCACCATTCCTCAACCTTCGATAATCAGCTTCCTTATGTTCACCCCTTAGCTCTTCACTATTCCCATCAAAGTTAGATTGATGTAGTCACTTGTTGGTGGAGACCAAATAAGGCTTGTATTGGACTTACGACAATCAGAACTAACCACTTCTAGATTTTCATAATATCATCTATTGAGAAATCTGCAAACATCTCCATAGATTTTACCCAATGAACCACTCTCACCGTGATAGTTTCTATGACAGTCTCTCTGGTTCTTTCCTTGCCTGAAAACAATCTTGAATTCCTTTCTTCCCAAATGGTCTTACTCACTACAGCCCTCACACACTTCCATAACACCCGTCCCCTTTTCTTTGGCCACCTCAAAAATGTAGAGAACAAGCTTCGCACATTAATTGGGGAGACCACCTACACCCAAACAACAAGAAGAATCATTCCCAAATAAAAGTTACAAAGGGGCAGGAAATTAATAAGTGAAAGCAAGCTTGTCCATAGCATAACACACCAGTGAGGGGATAAGCACCAATTATTTCTTTTCCTTTGGAGTAAATTGCAAGTATTAATTCTTTCTAGGAAGACTTCCCAACAAAACCCTCCAACTCTTTGAGGGATAGAATTGCTCCAAACCTCCTCCATCGGAAAAGACAGCCCCAATGAATTGGAAGGTTGAGTAAGAGCCTTGAAGAAAGAAGCTTCGGAATAAACACCAAAGGAGGAAAGGGTCCAAACATGACTGTCAGGTTTCGAGGAGTCCAAATAGACCCCATCAAGAATATGAAGCAAATCCAAAACATCATTTAGTTCCAACCTTTTTCTTTGTAGTTCCTCTTGTATCAAAGTTTTAAGCCCATTTACCTCTTCCATCTGTGTTTCCAATAAAAGCCATTGGATTAGGCCCAACTCCTAAAATTAGAGATTTTACCTATGAGGTTATGCACAAAAGATAAATACTTGTGAAATTTGTTAGCACAGGAGGAACCTTTGGCCTTCATGAGGAAACCTATTAACTCTTTGTTAAATGTGCTTATGTTTCGTTTCAAAGATCTGGAGTCACTTCATAGCTCTATCTGACATTCAATGGCAACTACTGGAAGAAATCCCCACTTTTGGTATACTGAGTTCTCCTAGGACAAAAAGGGGGAAATCATGTGGAAGTGTGTAAGAGCAGCTGTTCTATGGTCAGTTTTGGAAGAAAGAACTTAGTTGATGCTTAGGTGGCATCTAGGTGTTGCTTGGGCAACAAAAATGAACAAATTAAAACATGCATATTTTGTAATGTATGTATATAACATATGGAACTTTATGTTAATTTTAAACTATTATACCACTAGTTAAACAAGTGAATGAGGAAATGACTACTTAGGGGTCATTTTATGATAGCTAAATGGCTAAATTGAATGACTTATTGTTTTATCTTTTAGTGTATAAAATAATTAAACTATAAAAAATTCAATTATAAAATATTCAAAGGCATTGTAATCAGCCCAAGTTCATCTTCAGCTATTAAGGCGTTCATAACCTCCTTAATAATTCATTCACTAAAAGACAAAGCAAAAATCAGAAACATGCATTAATGGGAAGGGTAGCAGGGGTTGGCTCAAAACAAAGGGTGCTCAAACTCAGTACTGATTGTATTCAAATTCTATATCATTAATCAATAAAGTTCCTGATTGCTACAGACATTAAAAAAGGTCCAAGCTAGATGGACCCCAGAAGAACACTTAACTAGATGCCTTGGGTCCTAGCCAATGCATTAGCTGAACTTGGGTCCTAGCCGAATATGTAAATTTCTTTTTCATTATTGCCAAGGATTAAAATTTCGATACGATACACCCTGTATTGGGCATATCGTATCATATCGTTGGGGTCCCGATACACCTGTTTACAGGTGTTTCAGGCACCCCCTTTTTTAATAAAAAATATAGTTAAATACACCCCCCAAAACCAGGTTTTGAAAAAAGAAACTAAAAAAAATATAAAAACGCATGGTTCAAAGTACTGATGTGCCTCTGCCAATACACGGGTGTATTGATACTTTGAACCTTGATTATTGCATGATCAACAAGCTTTGTTAAAATAAAAGAAAGAGACAAACCCAACAGTTCAATATAGAATTGAAGAGGACAGATACAATAGCAATTAACTGACATATATTCCATATCTTTGTTCTGGGCTTCAGTTTTTGTTGATTAAAGGAGATATGCACCTTGCAGCTCCTCCTTTTACTTTCTAATACTTCTGGCTTATTTTTAATTAAATCTCTCTTCTACTCACTGAAAATAAAAAAAAAAGAAAAAAAAGACTTAAATTCTATGCCTTGCTTTCAAGGCATTATCAACTTCTCACCCAGAAGTAGGATGCTAAGTATTCTCAAAAGCAAATCCTGTTCTGTCATTTGTTAGGAATTCTTTTTGGTGTTAACATATTAGCATACTCATCTAACTAATTATTCTAAAAATTCAGTGTCACCCCTCTAGATGGATTACATACTTAATATGCTTTACTGCTACAGGGATGAATGGAATTAGTTCTCCTGTTCTTTGCCCTTTCCTGCTATAAAAATCATTTTAACTCTGCTTTTGGAGGCCTGATCAATTATCAGATATCAGTTATCACCACTTGCTTTTAGAGATTCTTTGGCTATTTTCTTACCATATTTTCTTTCTCATGTAACCATCAGTGCAACACAGTTGGTTCTTAGGGCCCATAAAGATGCTATAAATTCCTTGAGTGGTAATAGTTCTGCAAAGTTGGGCACTGTTGCAACAGTAGTTGCAGCAGCAAACTCAACAGCCCAAGAATCTGCTAAAGAAATTGAAGCAGCAATGAGGATCTCTATGAGAGCAGCTCTAGGTATGGTGACAAATAAAGTAAATGATGGTCAAATGGATGATCTGGCGATCATGAAGGTATGTGTAATTACTAGATTTTCATTTCATATTTGTTCATTGTGGCATCTGAATCTGTAAATCTGAAATTGCATGCATATCATCATTCGTGCCATATGAAGGTTCAGTTCTGAATTCATATCCCAATGTTTTGGTCTCACGACTCAATAAATGCTACTAAATAAGACCCTATCCCATCTATGGTTCATGCAATTTTGGAGGTGAGCATTGGTGTTGGATATGGATTTGGTGCCTGATACAGGTAGGCACAAGGAAGATGATTCAGATAAATGAAATATATGAAGATATTGGGATTTTAGAGTAATTGAACCATAATTCATTAGATATCACTTTCTTTTTATCTTAATGTCATGATTACTTTAAAAATTTTCCTGTCCATTTCTTTTATACCTCCTTTTTCTAATAAGAGAGAAAGGGAAGTAAGGAAGGTTTCATGTGAAGTTGTGAACCGCTGGCCTTCCTGGAAGCTAATATGTCCAGGTATGAACAATTATATGGAAAACATGGGTTATGCTCTTCATTTCTCAAAACTCTGGACATAAGACATGCAATCCTTGCAAGTTCTAGAACCCAAAATGTCCAGAAATGAAAAACATGGATAGAATTTATCATTGTCAGAATTCTGGATGTGGTACATTCAACAAATATTTGACCAGAAAAAGGAGAACTTGTTCAATACACAAATATTCTGGATGTCGTCGTCAAGCTTCTATTATGTCTCCTTATTCATGATCCTCTTGGACAGTTTTTTTTTCCTCTTTATTATATTTTTATCAGGAATGCATTTATAGAATTTGATTGCTATAAAAGGTATGCAACAGTATAAAGCTGGCATTGCCTGTATTCCCACTGGTTGGGAAGAGAGACAAGTCTACTGACAAACTCAAGTCAATGGAAGATTACATTACATAGCATTTTCTTTTTTCCTGTTTAATTTTTATCATCAGCAAGGATCATCCTTCCTCGTTGTTCATCTAGAAATTCTTGGAAAAATGGGTTAACAATGAACGATATAGTTCTTCCACACTAAGTTGATTCATAAGATGGCTGGTCCTTTCAATAGATCTACTTGGAGAACTTGCTGGGTTCGGCATCAGCACACAGCTGCACTGGTTTTCCTCATTAATTTCAAGTCATGGGTAAAGGATAGGGCGAAAATGATATTGTTATGAACTTTTTATTTCTTTCTTTTATTTTTCAGTTTTCTCTGCTATTATCATGCTTCATGATTTGTTCAATTCTTACTGGATATTTGATTGGTGTTATTCAATAGGCAACTAATAAAGGCCATTACCCAGTGTTGGGCCTATCTATCTGGGGTCTTGGGAGGGTGGATTGGATGCAGCCCTTGCCTTTGTCAATTTTCACAGTGTCTGCTCTCATACTCGAACCCATGTTTTGTGCCTGGAGGATGCGCCGTCCCCCCTCCCCTTGCCTAAAAAAATTAATTTTGTTAGTTTTGATTATTAATTTACAAGAAAGTAATATCAGTTTGCTTTCTCTACAATGACCTTGCAGGAGACACTACGAGTTAAGGACGAGGAATTACAACATCTGGCAAGGGATCTTCGTGCTCGGGATTCCACGATAAAAGAGATAGCTGGGAAACTATCTGATACTGCTGAAGCTGCTGAGGCTGCTGCATCTGCAGCTCATGCAATGGATGAACAAAGAAGATTAGCTTGTGCAGAAATTGAGCGTTTAACAAAAGATTCACAGAAACAGCTCGAATCATCTATCATGAAGGTACTTCTTTTAATTATGGAGGTTAAAAGAATTTACTGGAACTATATTTATATGATTGTAATGTGAAACCAAATGCACAAATGCAAGCATGCAAGGTTTTTGCAATATTGTTGCTTGCTACTGTGACTGCCCTTGTTAAGTACAAATTTCAATCTTGGGGTCAGACTTACTGTTCGAAATTTTCTTCTTTCAAAGAGCACAAAATTGAAGATAAGGAGGAAAAAATTGGTCTCACTTACCTCAAAGGAACCTCTTATATCCACTTCGAATATGTTGTTTTGTTTCCACTAATGAACCTGGATGATAGATTTGTTCCTTGTTCCTAATCTTTGTCTACTATGACAAGTACCAAGACTTTTCATGGTTACTGATAATGCTCCAGATTTTACGTGTGAGCTATTTCATCATTTCGATGTCTTAAGATTTTTCATTAGCTTCAATTCAAGCTTTCTACTGATAATGCAAATATGATTGATTAGTTGGTTATCTGACCTCCACTGATATTAGATTGCTTATTAATCTATAGTTGAGGGTATCTGAAGAAAAAAATGCAGTCCTAAGTAAGGAGAGGGATCAACTGTTAAAGCAAAGAGACTCTGCTCTTCAGGAGGCACATCTGTGGCGTTCTGAGCTTGCAAAAGCTAGAGATCGTGCTGTAATATTGGAAGCTGCTGTTGTCAGGGCCGAAGAGAGAGCACGAGTTGCAGAGGCAGAGGCAGAATCCAGGGTAAAGGAAGCCACAGAGAAAGAGTTGGCTGCTGTAAAGGACAAGGAAGAGCTTCTAGCTTATGTAAATTTACTGCAAGCACAAATACAAAGGTATATCTTCTGATCTTTCTTTATCATGCCAGATTCAGTTTTTTCCTTACACTTTATGATCATTGTGTTCTGTTTTCTTTTCCTCATTGTAATAATATTATTTTGTAATTACTCTGTTTCAGCTATATGTTGTGGTTTCATTTGCATTTGGACCCATCTTGAATGCCAGGTTTTTTTGTTTTAAGTTTTTTTTTTCTTGTATTTTTCATCATCATTAAACGTCCATTCAATCTCGGTGCAAGACCAAGGTTGTGTTTGGTACATAGTTGTCAAGGCGATTAGGCGGTTTTCCATGGGCGCCTCGCCCAAACGCCCCGAATTTTGTATACTAGGTGCCCGCCCAGAGACTTAAGCAGGTGCCTAGGTGACTAGGCAGGCACCTATATACAAGGCAGCCACCTACATACATCTACTAACTTTTTTTTTTTAATTTGTTATTTTGATATTTTATTAGATGTTTTATTCTTTTAAAATAAAACCGGTTACATACTATCGTTATTTTATTATTAAGACAACAATACAAAGTGTTTTTCTTCTTCTTCGGTTACATGCATAAGGGTTTCTTCAGTTCGGTTGGAGAGGGAGGAGAACCGAAGACTTCATTCCCCAGCCCAACTCCATCGCACCTCAGCTTCAGCAGGTAAGTTTTTCTCTTCTTCTTCTTCTTCTTCTTCTTCTTCTTCTTCCAACCCAGCTTCAGTCATTTTTTGCCTTTTTTTTTTTGAAAAAACAGGGACTCCGCCCCTATACCCCTCCCTTCCTCCACAGCTCCACTCATTCTTGTTCTTCTTCTTCTGCCCCTGATTGTTCTCAGTCGCTAGTCCTAGTCTCAGTCCCCTATTTGTTTTTTGAAAAAGCAGGGGCTCCGCCCCTATACTCCTCTCCGCCCTTGACTGTTCTCAGTCAATAGTCTCAGACACTCAGAGCCTTTTTTTTTTTGAAAAAACAGGGGTCTATTACTCCTCCCTCCCTCTAATCCCCTATTCTTCTTCTTCCTCTTCTTCTTCCACCCCTATACTCCTCTCCTCCCTTCCTAGTTCCTGCACTTATTTATTTAGTTTTTTTTTCAGTTAATAGTTAGTGTACATGCTTGCTAATTAGTGTATAGTTAGTGTACTGTGTACTTGCTTGCTAGTTTTTCAGTTAATAGTTAGTGTACATGCTTGCTAGTTAGTGTATAGTTAGTGTACTGTTTACATGCTTCTAGTTATATGAAATTTATAGTTTTATACTCATTTGAATGATTTATAGAGTTAATAGTTAGTGTACATGCTTGCTAGTTAGCACAGAAAACCAATAAAATAGCTTACAAAAGCATAGATAAAGTAAAAACTCAAAAAAATTAATATTTTAAAATTCCAACGCCTAGGCACCTAGGCGCCTGGGCGCCCTGTGGTCGCCTAGCCTCACCTTTGCACCCTGAAAACTATGGTTTGGTACCATTGCTGTTTCTTCATGCAATGTTTTGGGGTTGATCAATAGAAAATGATGAGAAAGATGATTTGTCATGTTACATAAGGGAGTAACTTCAACTGAAAAAGTGCATGTGGGGACTGATAATTGCTGTTTAGGGTTGAAACATCAAATTTAATGTTTGAAGTAATTGATCAACCCAAAATGTTTCTGATTGTGTGACATGACAACTCATATTTTAACTCCTATTTCTATTGATCGACCCCAAACGTTTCATGAAGAAACAGCAATGGTACTAAACATAACTCAAGGTTGTGAGAAGTTGAAGTGTGATTGAAGATGCTGTTGAGAGTTATCGTCAACAGAGCTGGAGGATGATGTCTAGGCAGTCTAGCTGGTATTGTTGGTAGATATTCCAACAAGAACATTCTCTAGCAGTTGACAATTGGTGGTGAAAGATGTTGGAAACTTACGGAACTGAGTAAGATTTCCAGAGTGGTCTTATCAAAAGATTTTTGTAATCTATCCAGAAGAGTTCCATTTCAGATTGGGTTTCTCATATATAGTGGTTGGGTTTGCAAACTAGGTTAAAGTCATTCTTGGGGATCTCTTTCTGTTTCCACAATAAAGAGGACTCTGGTGGCGCTCAACTAGGCATGGTCTTATTATCACTTGAATTTAGGATTGATTAGTGGTGCCCTTTGGCAGGTTGCATTAAAAATGATAAATTCTCAAAAGTGGTCTGCACCGTCATTGCAGGAATTCCTCTCCATGCGTGGTGTTTGCATGATATGATTAGATGGTATTGATAAAAAAATGATATGATTAGATAGTTGTGACATACACTAGATGATGTAGGACAGTACCACCCACCTTTTACTTTTCCTAATACTAATTTAATGCCAACCCATTGCCCCCCTCCCCATCCTCTTTTTCTGCAAAATTAAGCCTGCTTTTTATAAATTTTATATTAGAAATTAAAACTTTGATTGAGATACAAGGTGGGAAATGGCTGACATGGATTCATCATCATCATCATCATCCATGCCTTTTCCCAACTATATGGGGTTAGCTACATGAATCCTGTTTCACCAATCCCTTCTATTTAAAGCCATATAAACTATTGAATTATTAGTGCTTAAATCATTTGTTACTACTATCCTTGTCCTTTTTGGTTTACCCTAGCTCTTCTAGCCCCTTCCACTTGTAACAAATCACTTCTAATTGGAGTTTTTGGTGGTCTTCTAGCCCCTTCCACTCTCTCATTTTATCACCTATTGGAGCTACTCTTAGGTTTCCATGGATGACTTCATTCTTGATCCTATCCTTTCTACTTTTTCCACTCATCCATCTTAGCATTTGCATTTCTACTACACTCGTTTTCTGAACATGTTTCTTATTGCCTAATACTCTTTTCAATACAACATAGCTAACCTTACAATTGTTTTACAGAATTTTCCTTTTAATCTAAGTGGTATTCGCCTATCACACAAGTCTTAATGCATTCCTCCCTTTTTCCAACTTGCTCTAAATCTTTGGGTGAGTTATTGAACCAAGGTATCGGAAATGGTCACATGAAGTTATCTCTTGGTCTCTAATCCTAAGTGTATCTTAATATACACTCTTGTTATTACTAAATTTACATGTCATATGCTTTATTGTAGTTCTACTTATTTTGAGACCTCTTGTTTCTAAGGCATTTGTCCATAAGCTTAATTTTGCATTTAATCCTTCATTAGTTTCATCAATTAAAACAATGTCATCCACAACAGTGCAAATAGATAATGGCCAAGTGCTAAACCTTGGTAAAGACCCATTGTAACTGTAAAATCTAAAGTCTCTCCCACTAGTGTTCTAACATTGGTTGTTGCCCCCCATAAGTATCTTTAATTTGGTTTATATACCTATTTTGGACCACTTTTCTTTTCCAAGACCCACCGTATTATCTCTCTAAGAACTGTATCATATGCCTTTTTCTAGATCAATGAACACCATATGAAGATCTTTTTTCTTCTCTTTGAACTTTCCATCAATCATCTCAAATGAAATATAGCTTCCATGGTTGATCTCCTTAGCATAAAGCCAGATTAGTTCTCTGATACACTTGTTTCAAGTCATAATCATTGTTCATTTATTCTCTTCCAAAGTTTCATAGTGTGGCTCCTGATTTTAATCCCTTGATAATTATTACAACTTCTTATGTCACCTTTATTCTTAAATATAGGCACCATACTATTGTTTCTCTAATCATTAGGTATCATTTTTTACCATCTTATTCAATTAGTTAGGTCCTAATGGTTTTCCTTTCTTTATCTTAGTTCCTCTTATTTTTTACTATCTTATTCATTTTTTTACTATCTTATTCAGTAGGTCTAATAACTCTACGAAGGTATGCATTATTTTTAAAACTACTATTATTGCTAGCTTTTCCTCCATTAGCACCCTCTCCTTGCTGTTCATTTAGTAATTTTTTCAGAATAGTTTTTTCATCTTTGTTTGATTTCCTCATCTTTTAGTAAGACTCTTGATCTTCATCTTTAATGCACCTGATATGGTTCAAATCTCCGCATTTCCTTTTCCTCAGTTTTGCGAGTTTATGCATTCCTTTTTCTCCCTATTTAGTGCCTAATTTATGGTAAAGCTCATCATAAGCCCAACATTTAAATTCATTCACTTTCTTTTTGACTTCCTTTTTTAGGGTTTTATGTTTTCCCAGTTTTCTGCATTATTATCTTTTTGCCATTCTTTGTAACATGGCTGACATGGATTGTGAAAATGAAATTGTGGCATGGACAGTCTGAATCAGCTATAAGATCCCATCACATGATAGAAATAGGTAGACCCCACCATCATGCTCCTTTGCACAGATTTATGTGCTTATATATCTCATATACACATCATAGTATTATACGTCCTAAAAGTTTGGAACTTCTCAAATTTGTCAGTTTAATGATTTGCTCATACTCCAGTTCAGGCTTCAAGCTTCCACTTCTGTGAACTAAGGTATGATCGACACAGGATACTACTATGTGTCAAAAGAGAAACCTGTTTCATCATAAGAAAATGGACAATGAACTTAAAATGCTGTTTGTAATTCATTATTATTGTTTTCGTTTGCTTCATACAAGGACTCGTGAGTACTCTTTGTTATTACTGTTTCTCATAGAATTTTTTTTTGGTAGGGTTGTTTAAATCAGAGTTGACAATGAATCTTTGTCCTTTTAACAGACAGCAGAGTGATACAAAACAAGTTTTTGAAGAGAAGACTGAATCCTGCCCAGATGCCAAAGACAACCTTCCATTAACAAAGCATGTGGACTTATCAGAAGAGAATGTGGACAAAGCATGTCTCAGTGTTTCAAGATCACTCCCTATTTCTGGGGATGGTATGCAGTTGGCTGTAGATCAGGTTGATCTCCGATCCATTGGTGATGGGGAGTGGAGTGACATTCGAGCAACAGAGGCGACAATAGCTGATGTAAGAGAGATCTCCCCTGAAACGGAGGGAAGCAGCTTGGATATACCTGTTGTGAGTCTTCCAGTTGCCGATCATCATCATCATGAGCATGGGGGCAACTCATTTCATCAGCCTTGATATGAAAAACAATATATATATGTTTATAGGGTGAACTAACTTAAAAGATTGTGGGGATTGGAAGTTTCAACAATGTGGAAAAGATTATTTCCACGTGGGTCTTTTATTTAGATAAAGCTCTTCGAGGGGCCATTTTGATGAATATGTAGAGTATATCCCTTTTCCCTGGAACCTGCAGTCTCTTTAATTATCAGGAGATAAACAGGAAGTAAGCATAAATTGTTTATACACAGTCCAATTGCGAAACAAGCAATTTCTAAAGGCTGGGGGCCCATTTGGTTCGCAGGAATGGAGATCTGGAATTGGAATCGGTCCAATCGGAATAACCCATTTTGATTCCAACTGTTTGATTGGGCGGAGTCGTTATCGCATTCCCATTCCTGGTGTAATGGCATTCCCCCCAATTTGAGGGAATGGCCATTCCCTTGCCCTCCCTTTGGGAATGGAAATCCATTCCAGTTGGTTCTAATTTCCATTCTTATTTCTGTCTGAACCAAACAGACTAGGGGGAATAGACCATCCAGTTTAAAACTCAATAAAGTTACGAGCCCATGGTATAGAAATCAAACGTAAAGAATAAAATCCAAAGAAATAAAATGCATAAAAATTGAAAAATAAAAACGCCTTTTAAGCCTAGCGAGTTATACTTGGTTCTACTCCAAATCAAATTTAAATCTCATTCTAATAGATGTATGGTACGATTCGAAGAACAGAGAGAGAGACCCTTCCAACTTCAATGCAAAATAGAGGAGGAAATATTGGATTAGGACTTGGGTTAATAAAAAATATATATTTTACAAATATAAATATTTATTTATTTATTATATAATATAAAATTGGGGCGGGCTTGGGCTTGGGTTAGGCCTTTTTGAGAAATCCCAAGCCCAACCTGAAAAATACCGAGCTTGGTGTTTTGGGCCCAACCTCAAGCACAAGGGCCTAAATTGATTTCCAAGCCCGAGTGAGAACGATCTAGGCTGACCCATCGGGCTACTTGACCCCCCCAAGGTTTAAATTTCGAAACGGGTGTATTGTATCGTATCTTTGAAAAATAGATATGGGATACATAAGGAAATCGGACTCTTAATCTTTTTTCACGTGTATTGGACCCGTATTGAGGGCGTATTAGAGGTGTATTGGGGGTGTATCAGGGCATATCAGTAGCATATCGACGAAAAAGATACAACCAAAAACTAAAAAAAATTTAAAGGGGGAAATAAAGTTTCTTTTCCCCGAAATAAGCATTCATTCACCCCCCAAATCTAAAGCTCTAAACTTCATTCCTAGAGTATTAGATTTGCAAAAGTTTGCAAGAAACAAATGTGAATTGTTAATTTTTTTAAAGATTTTTTAAATTTTGAAAAAATATGACAAAAATAGGTAATTTTTTTAATATTTTATAATATCTTGTGATTTCTTTTTCTTTCTTGAATGTTTAAATTTATATTGATCTATATTTCTTACATTCAAAACCACAATATAAATTAACAAAAAATTTGAAAACGTAATTTTTTCTCTATCTATAAAGACTACCTATGTTTTAGATCTATGGATTTATCTATCATATCCTTAAAGCAGTTGAAATTTCTTCTTTAATATTTTTTTTATTTTTAATATTTTTAGAATTAAAAATAAATAATATTTAATTATATTTTATCATTTGATCACAACAATTGAATATATTATAATTCTATGGATAATCTATCATATCCACAAAGCAATTGAAACATCTTCTTTAATAATTATTTTTTTTATTTTTATATTTTTAGAATTAAAAAATAATTAATTAATTAATTATATTTTATCATTTGATTACAATGATTGAATATATTATAATTCTATGGATGATCTGTCATATCCACAAAGCAATTGAAACTTCTTCTTTAATCTTTAGTAACTATTTTTTGAATATATTATATAATGTTTATTTATTTTTTTATAATTTTTGGAAATGAATAATAAATAATAATTATTTAAATAATAAATAATTATTAATTATATTTTCACATAGAGGTTGTGCCAGTGCATGTTTTATGGTTGGATAGGAGAGTTGGGTTTTTCCCATCCCATAAAACATTAAAGCTTAAGAATTATAATTTATAAATTATAGTTAAGGATAAGATTTTTAATGAAGTTATAATTAACTACAATACATTTCTTCATAAAACCATTAAAATATATTAATTTAATGTATATACACCTCATTGAGTTCTTATAATTAGTATTGTTGATTTATTTTATGATTTATTAAAGTATTTATAGTGTTTCCAAGTGTATCTATGTATATCTTAATTTTTCTCCGATACGTCTCTTAAAATTGCTTTTCCGATACACTTGGCGTTTCTGATACTTTGAACCTTGCCTCATCCATGAACAATTCTATCAATTACCTTTATTCAATGATCAAAATACTTATATATGGCTTCAGGCGGTAAAAATATCTGCCATGTCAATAATGACTAATCATTGGGGGATAGCCAATGATTGGTTACATAATAATGGTGGTTCTACTCCAGAAATGAGAGAAAAAAAAAAAAAAGATTTAAGATGTTTTCATGCCATGCACGACGGTGTATCCTCTTGGGCTGAAGTTGTTTAACATATGGGCTGGGCCCATGGTGTACCAGCTAAAGGTGGAACTCATATCATTCCTTTCCTGAGAATCGATGCAGAATATCTTCCCATTGTTCTCAGGTGGCATCATATCAAGTGTTACTGCCCAATGAATGAGAACCTCCATAGCTTATTCAATGTGGATTTTGGAATTGGATTAAGTGTAGCTCCTGAGTTTAGTGATGGCAAGGTGGGGAGTGACGTAAGGCATTGGAACCCAACTTCTTTTTTATCCAAGATACATGGAAGACTGGGTGCAGACGGCTTCCTTCTGGTAAATCCAGCTTATAAGCCACTGGCCCAATACGAGCCAACACCTAAAATTGGCCGTAGAACCTTGTAGAAAGCTTTTAGGATCTTCTTTCCGCTTTGCTACTTTGACGATAGGGCGGGAGTTGAAGGTATATCCAGTCTCTAACTATAAACTCTTGTTCAGACCTATGCTACTTTGAGAGTAATTATATCCAGTTTCTAGTCTCTGACTATGTATTAGATACTTCCTCAGTTGAACTTGAACGACTTCATGAAATCATTTTGATCTTAAAAGAGAAATTATATCAAATGACAAATTTGAACACTCTCCAAGGAAGAAATCATGCTAGCAAGAAGAAGAACAAAGAAAAGACATCAAGTTCTAGAGTTTTCAACTTGTTTTTATTTCTTTAGGATTTGATGTAATAATTTTCAAGATGCACTACAATTGGCTTAACTAACCTACCTCGGTATAATCAAAACCTTAAAGACCAATGGTTAATTAGTTAGGCTTTTCCTAGTCTTTAACCAAGCTTTAGTTGTAAAAATTTTAAGTGTAGAGGCCTAAGAAGTTGACTAGCTCCCAGACCTTAGGAGTCATCTACATAAAGTTTCTAATTTCTAATGTTAGACATGTTAGACATGGTCATTACTCGACTACCTATAAGGTAGTAATCAACTACCTGTGATTGCTGTCAATACCTGATTTTTGCTCGGTCTGCCACCCGAACCTCTAATTTACCTCAGACATCCAATCAGACACTCCCGATCTCTCTGAAACACCCAAAAATCAAAAAAAAATCCTGAATTTCACCCCAAGAGCCCTTAGATCCGTCGTTAAACCGGCCCGATACCTATCCGATAGCCCTGATTAACCCTTACTTACACCTCAACCATTAGATCAAACACAACCATCACACCCAGGATCTCCCAAAACACCTACCCATGAAACCTCAGCTTAAGATTCCTCTATTTACCCCCTCATCAAACCAAGATTCCATTCGGATGCCTCTCGTTTGCCTAAACACTTGGAACCCAGATTCCCTTGATCTTGACACATTTGAACCAGTCAAACCACACCATTGAACTCCAAACACATCAAAACATCTGTCCATAAAGTTTCAACCATAAATTCCCCCATTTGTTTGTTCATTAAACAAAGATTCCGTTCTGAAATATCCCGTTGACTTAAATTTCTATGATCTTGACCCCCCTCAACCAATCAGACATTACCACCATATCCCAAATACCCTAAAATACCCACCTGTAAAATTTCATCCCAAAACACCTCCATTTATCCTCAATTATCCTAGATTCCATTTCAAGGCTCTAGATTGACTGGATTCTAAGTCCGCCTGATCTGAGCCCAGTCAGCCTAATCCAACCTAACCAATCACCTTGGACTTCTCGAAAACCCTACCTTGTGAAATTTTACCCAAAACAAACCTTGTTTAGCCCTTGATCACACCAAGATTCTGTTTCGAACCCTTATACTAACCAAATCAGAATGTCCGAAAACCCCGCCTTGTGAAATTTCAGCCAAGAATGCCCTCATTTACCCTTTCATCTAAAAAGATTTTATTTAGGCCGATTTCACTGGCCTGCACATGCACGACCCCACTCCACGGTCAAACCCATCTCAACCCTCAATTGTTTGGCCAAAAAATCCTCACCATTGAACCAGAGGACCCGGTTTAACCTTCTTAGACCCGATTTGACACATTTTTTTTCAAAATTATGAAAATACCCCTTGAAACCCCAAAATTATGAAGCTGCCACTAGCCCTATTATAAATATAAACTAAGCTTTCTCATTCAGGCTAATAAGATTTTCACTGTTTCTCCCTTCGAGCGACGACAACCTTCTCCGACCCCATCTCCTCATTCCCTCTCTCTCTTCCTTTTTTTCCCTCTTCTTCTTCTTCTTCTGCCCATTTCTCTCTCTCCTTTTCTATCTCTTCCTTTCTCTCCCTCCCTCTATTTTTACTCTCTCTCCGTTTTCCTCTCTTTATCACCCCAACAATGCATCGGACCCCTTTTCGTTGTTGCAACTCACTGAATAACTTCCACCCATATCCCCATCATTTTTCCCATTTTCCAATTCTAACCATCATCAACATTGCCTCTCCTCGTCCTCTCTCTTCTCTGTTATACTCTTCCCTAACATCCCCTGTTAGAAGGCGACCCCCCTGTCTGAGTCTTCTTTGCCAATTGAACAGAATCTTCTTCGCCAATTGAACAAAATCTTCAAGTAAATGTTGCAGTCCCTAGTCATCATTATTAAAAAGAAAATAATCTAGGAGGGAGATTACTAGAACCTCTGTTGTAACATTTGCATTAAGGCCTACATCCGCCTACATCCAATTCG